AGGTGAGCCCTTGGTGGCATGCCGTGTCCTAATATACTTAAATAAAAACATCGCAACTCCCAAGATAGAGACTTTAATTTAAAAAAAAAAAATAAAAAAATAAAGTTAACTAGTTAAATTAATTAAAAACTAATCATAATTATTGCTATATATTGATAATTGATTAAAAAATAAATATTATCTGATTATATATTTCTATAGCTTGATATACATTTACGTAACTTGTTTATAGCATCAGTTTTTTCATCCTGTATTGCAAAAGTTATCAACTTTGAATGTGAGTCAAGTAAAGTGGGTAATATAATTGATGGATTAATAATATTTCTATATTCTTCTAACTTGTAAGTTATAGATTGAGTTATAAAACATTTGTCTTCTTTATAATTAGAAAGATACTGATCAAAGTGATGCTAAAGTTTAATAAACACAAGTCAAATATCACTAATAGCTGGATAAAAATTAAAAGACATTATTTTGTATACTAATTCAAAGAGTTCTAAAACTACATTAATCTGATTTCATTTATTTTCATCAAGTTACAAGTTTTCAAGTTGTTTTTTGTTTCTTGAAACCAAATAATTAAGTATTTCTTTTATTTTATTAAATTTTAGTAACTTTAGGAATATACTATTCTAACATGTATCAATATCCAGTTCTGGTTTTAAAAAGTTAACCTCATATGTAGTATAAATTTTTCATAATATATTACAAGATAATTGTGAATGACATATTTTTTTTATAAAGTTTTTAACCTTTTTAACAACTCTGGTTTTAAGTTACATGCTATGTTTTATTGTAATATTCAAAATGTATGCAGCATATCTGTGATGTATAAATTTTCTATTTTCTGCTAAAAAAAAGATCTGTTTGTAGTTTATATCCTGCAACAATCATATTTATAACATTATTAGTTGTAAGCCCAATAACCTTTAATGTAATTTCTATTTTATTAAACAATATTGTAAGTAAATTTTTAGTAATTATATCATAATGATTTTTAAGATAATGTAATAAGTCTAAAAGAAAGTTATGTGCTTTCTAATTTTTATTAATATAGTGTACTGTTATGCCTAAATATAACTAAAAAGATATAAATGTCTATACATCACATGTGATTGAAATTATTGAATCAATATTTTTAAGCAATTCTTTAATTCTTTTACATGTATTTCAAAACAATTCATTGTCTCATTGTATAATGTTTGTCTACAAAAACCATGATAATGTGAATCAAAAACACTAACTTTTTAAATATTGATTATTCACAATAGAGAAAGGTAATTGACAGTATATAATCAAATCTATAAGCTTTTTGTTTATTTTTGTTACTTATTGAATATCTTTTGTTATATATGATTTTATAGCAAAATGTAGAAGTGTTTGTTGTTTTAAAGAAATATTACTATAGTGCTTATTATTAAGATGAGTTGCTAGTGTTCTTGTTGTATTTTCTGGTTGTTATTTTTTTTTGTAAAGATCACAAATTATCACAATTATCTTGTTATTGACATCTTTTTCTTCATAAAAAAATTTCCAAACTGCAGATATACATTGCCTAGTTCTCTTCAAAAGAATGATATTATTACTATTGACAGAATTATCATTATTATTTGATTTATCATTATTATTTAAATTGTTATTATTATTTGAATTATTAATAAGATTTGTATCTTAATTATTATCAATAATAGAATCTGTATCTTTATTATTATCAATAATAAAATCTGTATCTTCATAATTATTATTAATAATATTATTATCACTTATATAGTTCATATTTTTGTAATTATTTATTTTCTAAATTACTATAATTTTTTTAAAAAATAATATTTAAATAACTATTTAATGTCTTTTAAATATAAAAGTATTCTTTATATTTAGATACTAATATCATTATATAATTTGATGAAGTTTTAATAAAATTATATTTGTAAACAAATCAAGTTATAAACTTAATTAGTACAAAGAAATAAAGTAAACTAAACATGAAGCAAACTTCTAAAAAGAGATATATATCATATTTAATATAAATATTTTTTATAAGTCTCAAGTAAACAAGTTTGTACATATTGTTTGTATTAAAATAGAAATCAAGTTTACTGGCTGATTATATTAAAAATATTAGAATTAATAAAAGAATTTTCCTTTATAATTCATCTAAATTTGGTTTCAAACTTCAGCTTTACTTACCTTTTTTTTTTAACTATTAAAGTTAGAATTACAATCAACCATCTCAGTGTTATCTAAAAATATTTGAACTTTGAATTACCTTATTTTTATCACATATTTCTAAAAAAAAAAAAAAGCATTTCATATTTAATATCTTTTTGAAATTTTTAAAATAGAAATCAAGTTAATTGGTAGCTTTATTATTTTAAAACATTAGTAATAATAAAGATAAAAAGAATTTTATATACTTATCTAAATTTGGTTTCAAACTTCAACTCTACTTGCTTTTTTTTTTTTTTTGTTAAGATTAGGATTACAAATTTATCATCTTCATTATTGTCTAAAAATATTTAAATCAAGCAATCTAACATTCTAGATTTGTCTTATTTTCATTATATACAAGTTATCATTATTGTATCATTATAAATTTCAAATTTTAATTTAACATTAATATACTATTTTTATATCAATTGATAATTAATTATATCAATATATTTAGACTATATATTAAACTCTGATTTGTTAATTTTAGGTACAGTATATATTTGTAATTGAATTATTGACAGATAAATAAATCAGGGTACAATGTACAGAACAACAATTAATAATTTAAAACTATATTATATCTCAAATAATTTTAAAAAACTGTTCTAGCCAAAACTCAACTCTTTCCTATTGGTTAAGGCTCTAATTAGACAATTTATTTGACATCTGAGCACTACTAAGATGTATCATTTGATATATAAAGAAATACTTTTTCTAATTGTTAAATAGAAATAGTAATGATAAAAAATATGAATTCTATTAGCAGTATTATTTGAGCTAAAATTTGATATCCTTGCATGATTCCTACTTGCCCAAACTCAGTTTGATTCTGTTTGGAACTGAACCCAATAGAACTCAAGTTTTTACCAAACAGTTTGAAATCAATTAAATGAGCAATGCTTGATTTGTAATAAAGCTTAGACTTTTAATAACTATTGTTATAACAAATAAAAATTACTATTGTTATAAAGAACAAAAATCAGTTTTCTTTGACTTTTTTTTTTTTAATTAAATGTTAATTTAATGTAGCATAATATGATGACAATTAGTCTTTTAACTTTTTTTTTTAATATAAATATGTGACTTCTTTCTTTTTTTATATTTATTCAAGAATACTAAATAAAATTTATAAGTTGATATAATTTATATAGTCTAATATATATTGTATAGTATATTAGTTCAGAGTAATAGCTCCAGAGCAAATTTACTCTGAAAGTTTATCCATTTTAAATCTATGGATTAGATTTAATATTGCTCTAGAGTAGTTTACTCCAATAATAAAATCAAATGCTTCAAAGTAGTATTTTGCTTAAACTACGCTAGTATAGAGTGGTTTATACTCCTTGATTACTCTGGAGTATAATACTCCATTAACAGCCCTAGCTGTAGGATTCCATAGTCAAAAATAAGATCTAATTCTCATCTGTTTAAAAAACTTAGCTTAGTAATAAGTGAATTGTATCGGGGCTTGAGAAGTTATTACTATACTAACTTTTTTAAACAGACGAGAATTAAATCTTATTTTTGATTATGGAGTCCTACAGCATGAAATCTTATATACAGCTTTTTTTATTTCGTTATGATTAGTTTTCATTTTTTAAAAAAGCACTCTAAACTGTATAAATAATGTAAAATTAACTTGCCTATGAGATGATAATCGATTAAAATCATTAGTGTTAGTACGACGTGTGAGATGATAAAACCATCACTGCCACGATTTTGCGTGACTTGCTCGAGATGACATCATACCTCGCGAAGTAAACTATTCTATTAAGAAAATTTTAATGAAATTTCTGGCTTACAATCTAAAATGAATTCTTATCTTATGAATCGTGAGACCTCGCGCGACATGTGAAATGTATCTCGCACCTCTAGTTATGGTTAGTAATATCCTTCTTACAGATTATAAATTTAAAATAATATATTTGAAAATCGAATTATATGCAATTAAATCAGTAATTTTTTTCAAAATACTGTATAAGTCAAAAACAACATGACAATTTATATGTAACAATATTAATAAAACTCAAAAATAAGTTAAATATTACTCAAAAATACATATCAATTTATTACTAGAAATACAATTGTAGTATAATTGTAATTATATTATTAAGAGACAAAATTATGTAAATTATATTCTACTAGGCAAATAACAAAAATACATATTTCCTATATTACAAAAAATAATTATCAAAAAACAAGCAACTTAAAAAAAGAAACAATGCTATGAGTTGTTCTGTTCATTAGTATTTAGGCTGCCATTTTGCTGTATATAGTTGTTAACTCTTGAAGATCCTTTCTCAGCTTCTTCATATCTTGAAGGAATTGTTTTTCCTGTATTTGAACCTATAGAAGATGAGGGTGAATATTTATCATCTCGATTATTTAATGAAATGATATCATCACTCTTATCTATTGATTGTGAAGTGGACTGTGCATTTTGATAATATCCTATGTATGGTGAATAAGAATATCTACCATCATCATCACTATTGCTTTCAGGCATAAATGCACTATTACTTTCGGGTATAAGTGCACTGTTGTTATAATAGTCATTAGGCACTCCATTAAAAATATTTGGAGCATATCCATTATTATTTATTAAAGGTTCTTCTATTGTATGTACGTATTGATTTTGTCTGACAACAGGAATATCAAATCGATCCACTGAAAAGGGTTGTGGAGGTTTATTATGATAAGGCTGTTGTGGATGGCCCATATTTGACACTACTGGCTGTGAAGTAGCATGTGGTGGCATTATTAGATCGTATTGATTTTGTCTAGCAAGGGGAATAGGTTCAGAAAAAGCAGTAAAATTATTGTAAGAACGCTCTGGTGTTGCTATATTAGATTGATTAATTAGTAATGATGGCATTACAGGATCTTGTTGATTTTGTCTGATGAAAGGGATAGGTTCAGAAACAGCAGCCAAATTATTATAAGGACGCTCCAATGCAGTTACATTCGATCTATTTGTTGGAAAGGGACTTTGCTGAGGAGATCCATTATTAGGATAAGGTTGTCGTGGATGGCCCATATCTGACAATACTGGTTGTGAAGTAGCTTGTGGTGGTATTATTGAGTTTTGTTGAATTTGTCCAACGAAGGGAATAGGTTCCGAAACAGGCTCTAAATTATTGCCAAAGTGATCTGGTGCAATTATATTAGAGTGGTTCATTGGAGAAAAATTGAGCTGAGAAGGATTAGGATAAGGCTGTCGTGGATGACCCATATCTGATAATATCGGTTGTGGTGCAATTGTTGGATCGTGTTGATTTTGTCTGATAACAGGAATAGGTTCTGAAACCGGTCCAGGATTATATCTAGGATTATATCCAGGATTATACCCAGGGTTATAGCCAGGGTTATTGTAAGAAATCTCTGAATTGAGATGAGATGGTTTATCATTAGGATAAGGTTGATTTGAATAGTCAGCCAAGTTAGAACGGTATGGAGGACTCTGATTAGGTTGACCATAAATAGGAGTTGAAGGTCCTGATCTATAGTTTGGAGTAGCAGCTCTTTGTCCATAATTTGGAGTAGTAGTCCTTGATACATAAGGTGGTGGTCCAACCATCATTGGATCTGGGGAATTTGACCGCGTCATGTCAGTCGGAGGTATAAAATTATTAGAATATGGCAATACCGAAGATTTGGCGTAAGGTGGAAGTGAAGGATTACTATCACAAATTTCTGGAAGAGTGGGTCGAATGGAGGTATCTTGTTTCTTTTTTTTATTATTTTTCAATTTATTAATCCTTTTTTTGCGTTCTTTTGCAAGAAGTTCATCAATTCTGGGAAGTTCATAATCAAGTTAATAACGCTAGGTATTTCATGTTAATAAACAATAAAATAAAAAAGGGACTAACCTTTTATCAATTTTGTGACAACAAAATTCTTTCAGATTACCTCTGATTATACATACCAATGGTATATAAAGAAGAGCAGCAATAATAATTCTAAGCGCAGAAAAGATAAAAATAAAGAGAGAAAATGCCATCAAAGCCACGACAAGACGTTGGACAGTATCAACACCATAAGAACTAAGATCATAATATTTTTTCGATCTAACCAATGGAACGAAGGAGTAAAGAGTAAATGCACTAACAGCTTGACGAGGGGCTTCAGCAAAAATAAGACGTTTCCAACCTATTAAATAATATAAATGAATGAACATTTGAATTCATTATTAAAGTAGAAGAAAACAATAATAAATAATACCTTTAAATGCAAAAAATACAAAAAAGGCGATTCTATCTGTGCATTTCCTCGAGTTATTTATTTTAGAGAAAAAACAGTAGTACGCAAGACTAGTTAAAATATAAGTTTTGTATGCAATTCCATTTGTGAATGCGAATGAAATATCTCTCGTCTTTCGTATAAAAAGAGCTTTCTTAATGTCCCATGATAAAAGGGCGAAAGACGCAAATATACAGGCGACAAAGATCCATTTCGAGACAGAGAAAGGAATTGCAGGTTGAATAGCTGAACTCCAACGGTCAAAAATGAGTAAAATTCCAGCAGTCCAAACATCGGCAATATAGACAAGAACAGATTTTAACATTGTAAGGATGACGATAAAATATCCTATCCGTGATAGAAAAGTTTTTTCTTCAAATGAGTCTACGTCAATAAAGTCAAATTTGTGGTCTTTGACTTGTTCTCTTTTCCACTTTGCAGTTGAAAAGCACATTTTAAATATTCAAAGATATGAGTACGAGGTTGTTTTTTCTTTCGGTTACGAGTAAATTATTCTTTGTTCTTCTATCTGTTTTATTTTATTTATTTTTTGAGAAACAAAATTACATTTCTTAGCTATAATGATAAAATTTGCAATATCTGCAATATGAGAACAGGTCCAACCAGTAAACCTAAAAATAACTAAGATAAGGAAAGGTTTGTCTTATTAATTAAATAAATTAAATTTGTAGTCTGAATGCCTCTCTAAAACAAATAATTTATTTAATTAGCATCAAAAGACTTTGGAAAGAACGAAAGAAAGAAGATAGAAGGAAATGATCGCAAAAAAGTAGAGAAGCAGAATAGGGAAAGGGCACTAGGTTAACAGAATTTGCAACAAAAAATGAGTTCAGACACTTTCACTACACACACCTTGTTATCTTAATTTTCGTCGAGGTGTCATTCATTTTTTGTGTTTGAATTTACAAACATAATTCTTAACGGTTGTACGGTTTAACATTGATGCATACTTTTTGATTTTCGAAATAATAATTGAATTTAATACATTTAATATTAGTGTAATTGTTTTCTTCCGCTATAATTACGTAATCATAACACATTGTGAAAGTAAGCCGACATTCACGATCTCGATTATATGCGTAAGCAGATCAGTGCGTTAGCAGATCAATGCGTTAGCGATCAATGCATTCTTTTCTTTTGTATCAGCAATATGAAAAATAACTAGTTGTTTTTTTATAATAGTTTAAGCTATTCAAGGCAAAAGCTTGATTGTCATATAAACATTTATTTTATTGAGCGATTAATGCAAAGTCCATTAGAGTCGACATTTTTAAGTTGAGAGAAAAAGGTTTTAGAACTCTTGCTCGAGCAAAATTCGAATAATCAGAATTTCGGCATTCCGATTCGCAGCATATCGATATCAATATTAGTATGTATATACGTACCATAAATGGAATTTTCAATTTACGTATTGATCTTTGATTGTCAATCCATTTTTAGATTATCCTTTTCGAGTAAACCGACATTAATAATAAAGTGCTGAATGAGGGTTTCCTATTATATTTTCATATGACATTCAAGCTACTCAGCATTTTTCGTTGGTTTTAATAGGTTAAAGATTTGTTCGTCGGTTTTACTTTTAAAATCATCAATTGTTTTGTAATTGTCCGACTCGTCAACCCGTGACTTGAACAATTCAAAATTTTAATTCTAGTTACTCACGAGTTAATTATTAATGTATAATTACGTATCATCGTTATTAAGTTTAAAATGATTAATAATAAAATTTGTAACGCCGTCACAAAGTGTGTTACACTCACGTGATATACTATATCTCCAATCAGCGTTTAGATCAATATAACAGATCATTCTGACATCTGTTTTCTAGAAGGCATTTTCTAATTGTACATGGGTGTGTTGTACACGGCGATAGAGAAACCAATCTATGCCTCAAAATTTTGATTATAAAATCACCTTTTGGCTTCTAACAAAAAAAAATTCCTTGCGAAATTTTGGTATAAAATGTACCTTAACAAATCCCAAACCAACCCTTACCCTTACCATAAGGGTTCAATTTTTCATTTGTAAAAATTGTCTTGATTAGTATGCTACACGAATTTACAAACTACAGGTTAAATACCCGTATATATATATATGTTGTGCCTTAGACTAATACATGCCCCAGATCACAGCTGACGCACCTCAGATGTAAATTGTTAAGTGAGGTGCGATTGGTCAATAAGCACAAAAAAAATTGTATGTATAAAAATTATTGAAGACTAAATGTGCTGAAAAGCTTAGATGAAAACTTAGAAAGAATATGCTGTGAAAATTTATGCAAAAAAAAATATATATATTTGTATGTATTAATTGGAAATAGAATGTGCTGACAAAGAAAAAATTCAAAAAGAACGGAGGTGCTGAAGAGATAGACTTAATGTAAAAGAATGCTACTGTTGGTTGTAAATTACCAAAGATTCAAGAATGCTATTGAAGGTAAGACGATTCCAATGTGATTCAAAATATAGAATACTACTGGAGTTAAGAAAGGCACCAAAGTGATTTAAGTAAGAATGCTACCAGTGAAAAAACGGCGAAGAGATTCAAGAAACCGAGTATAAAAGAATTCCAAGTAAAAGGTCTTCAATTTATTTTACTCTTTCGGTTTAGATGACGTTACACACCTCACCTGACGATCTGTATCTGCAGACATTAGAATATCAATTAACATTTACTATGACGTATTGACGTGACGTATTTAATGTGACGTAGGGGCCTGCAAATTGCCTATTTTTGAGGCCCGGCCCGGCCCGCAAAAATTTGCGGGCCGGGCTGCGGGACCCAACGCAGGCCTCTAATGTGACGTATTTAATGTGACGTATTAAATTTTATGACGTAAAGGGTGACGTATAAAAATAACTACCTTTGACTCTCTAAATGTCGTTATTTCGAACAATACGGTAAGGCCACGCCAAGTTAAAACTGTGTTTAACATAATCCACCTTTGAGCCTCGGATAAATAACAATCTTATTGACTGTTCAAAAAAAAATTTTTTTTTAGTCAATATTTAGACTTTTCGATCTCATTAGTGTAATGTCAAAATCAACTTGGATGGCCTAAACATATAATCGCAAGATTTAATATCAAAAACTGCCCAAAGATATTTATGTGTATCGGTAACCTCAGTATCGTCTGAACGATTTTTTTCAGATATTGAAGACACACAAACCTTGATTCAGAGTTGGTGGGGATGATGTTATTTTTGAAAAAAAAATATAGATTTGCTAGTTACAGTATTCTAGTTAACGAATAATTAATATGCTAAATGAAATATGCTTGCTTTCATAACTGTAATTTGAGATATTTGTTTTTATAAATTATATTTGCTTACCAAACTTTTCAGTAGTTAATTGTTGTGACTTGAGTTGATCGAATAAAACTCAAATAATTCAATCGGAAGATTCGAGCACTCAATTCACGAGTCACGAGTTAGTACGAGTCCAGTCACTAGTTGAATACATGGTTGCGACGTATAAAGGAAAGATTCTATGTCTGGAAGTATAATTCTTATCCTGTGCTGCCTAAATGTAATTGGTCCAAATACTAAAAAAAATTTCGTTTTTTTATTATTGCTAATTATGGGTTAATTGAAAATAAAATTGACGGTTAGGAAGTCATTATTTCAAAGATAGTTAGATGTTACTGAGCTATCAGTATCATATAAGGCCTTATTAATATTATCTTCTTTATCTGTTCTTACTGTTCTTAATGTAAGACTAAAGCATATATTTCGTTTAATAACATCTAAGCAAAATACAGAAGTGTCAATTATTTTAATTTGTTTAATCGAATTTACAAGAATTAAGCATAGACCATAATTAAGTACTATGCGAGAAATAAAATATAAAATGTCAAAAAAAAAAGAAATCTCCTTTTTTTCTGTGTAGTCTCATCAGCTATAATTGGATAAAAAAGTCTAGAAATTCAGATACTGATAAATAGGATTGTTAATGGTGTGCTCCGGTTAATAATAAAACATATAACCCACCCGGAGCACTCCAGAAGCGGGTTATATGTTTTATTATAGTCTAGAGTACTCTCCTCTATCTGAACAAACATATTGTAATGCAAGGTAATACGTCAAATGGACATTTTTCAAAGCAAAATTCCATAAATATAGATGTCTTATTTAAAAGCTTCAAATATATGCTGCTATTTAATTTAAAAGATTGTATAGATTGGTTCAGATATACCAAAATCTGTAACGGTAATCTTCATTCATCTTTAAGTTCTTTGAGTGCTACAGAATATATTTAAAAAAGAAATTAGCAAAGCATTTAAAATTTTGGCATTAATTATTTTAATGATGATAATAATAAAACGACAGGGTGAAACCTACAGCAGAGACCATTAATGTTACACATATATTAAAACTGGCGAGGGATTATATCCATCACAATTGAATCCAACATAAATAATTTAATTTGTGATTGATCACAGGCGTGAGGGATTCACTTTGGATCGGGCACTGTCTCTGCTGTAGGTGAAACCCGCGTCAATATTGCATGATTAAATATCATATAAAAATTTGGTCTAATCAGAAAAATAAACCCTTATTGCTTAAACAATATATTTAGATCTTTTAAATTTTGTGTTTAAAAAAAATAATCATTGTTGATTTTTTAACCTAGACAAATATTTGTACAGTATAACCACTCATTTAAATCATAATGTTATATTTTTTTGCAAATTGTATCTTTAGCAAGAAATTTACTACCACATACCAATCGGGTTGAAGGTTTTGCGTCCATATACCAAGTAAAATACCGTATAACCATCCCTTTCGTGTTATGCTATATATAACACTCCGTTCCTGTACGTATGAATCAATTTTACTGCGCTATTTGTGAGTGAGCCGTCCCGTTAGCTTTTTTGGGCTTTTATTATCCAATCATTATCCTTAGTTTTAATTTCATTATTGTCCAAAGTAACAGAGTTGATGTGTCTGCGTCATTTCTGAATTTATGTCGATTCAGAATTTCTCAATTTTCATCGATCGCGAAATGACCCAGCAATGCAGTTCATGATACCAGAAACGGAGTGATAAATTTCACGGAGTGTACGGTTAATGGTATTGCTCCACAAAATCTTGCAATTGTGCAAAGGCGTGAGTGCAGATTTGATTTTTCACATGCAACTTCGTCACCAGGTAGGGTTCAGGGCATAAGGGCATGAGGCATGCCATATAGCCAAAAGGCATGCCCATACTTAAGAAAATGTCATATAATTGGTCAATTTTTGTAAATTTACTTGTAATTATATATGATAATCAACTAATCAAATTACATAATTTTTTAATATTATTAAAAATAAAAATATTTTGTATATAGAAGTTCATAAATTAATAAAGAATTAACTAATTTTTTTAATTTATGATTTACAAATGCAAATATATTACACTACAGTATTAAACAAATTTAATAGTTACACTA